GTATTAGAGGCAAAACAAATCAAAACAAGACAACAAAACAAATTCCTAGAAAAACATGAAACAAAAAAGACATATAAAACCACAATACTAGGTGATCTACAGTAGTTACTATGATGTCTCCTGTTATTTTCAGTAGGATTGTCTATATCATCAGGAATAATATAATTGAACATAGCACTACATAGCAATTTTAATAAAAACAAAACATTGGAGACATTAAAGGACTTCAAAAGCAGTTAATAATCAAACCAGAATAGGTATCCTATTGCATCTTGTCCTCTTCAAACTAGTTGCCTCTGCTCTTAGACTTGATAATATCAAGCATACCAAATTTGAATAAAATCAGTCAAGACAAACAGCGATCTAACAAACCAGATTCAAATAAGATCAGTCAAAGTAAAACAGTGTAAGTAATACAGGCCTCAAGTTAAGTTAATAGGAAATTACGGAGAGTTACTGTAGTATATTCTGCTATTTTGGGGATAGCTGTCTGTACCTTCAAATCTAGTAAGAGTAGACAGACTGGAACGGAATAAAATCAAACTAAACAGAGCAATAAGATTACTGTGGCTTTTAAATCCTGATATACTATTAACAGTGTCCTCTGCCTTTCTTTTTTAGACAGTTCTTCCCTTTTCCCTTTCTCAGGGTGCTTTGTATATTTTGGGTCCCACTAAATCCCTTAGTTTTTAGATTAGAGGGGTAACCTGCTATCTGCCTAAGTGGTTCTGAGCCTTTTTACCCCTGAACTTGATCTTGAGCTGTGTTCCTTTACCTATTAAAGCCTCAAGGTTTTCCTTCCTTCTAGCTGAGTAGTTCTCCCCTACACAAAAGTGTCATCACTTTCTAATTTATCTGTAGCTTCTGGACGAGCTGTCCCTATTTCTCTCTGGTTCCCTGTCACATAGAGCATTGTTTTCTCATCTTTGACTTTTAGTTCATTAACTCTCTTTCAGATACATTATATTGCCTATTCAGAGCATCTTGATGGGCTCTATCTTCTGACCTACTCTGCCTGTTTCTTTTTGCTAGTGTATCAAGGCCATCTGTGTTAGATATTATAGCTAGTCTTTTCTGTCTCATCTCTGCTATGCTCTTTTTCTGTTGTTGGTTGTCTACTTTTCTCCTTCATTCCCCATTGTCTACTTTTCTCCCCATTCCCCATGTCTGCCCCATTCAATGAAGCCTCTCTGCCACTGTTGCTGGAATCCTGGTGATTTTTTTCTCTCTCTCTAGAATGTCCTTCAGTATTTTTTGTAAGGTTGGATTGGTGGTCACGAACTTCCGCAGTTCCTCTTTGTCATGGAAGCATCTTGCTTCTCCATTAATTTTTTTTTTTCCTTTTTTCCAGTACCAGGGATTGAACTCATGACTGCCTGCTTGCAAGGCAGGTGCTTATGCTGCTGAGCTAAATCCTCAGCCCCTCTCCATTAATTTTGAGAGACAGTTTTGCAGGGTGTATCAATCTGAGCCCGTCAACCAGCTAGTGTCTTTACCACATTAGTCTGTGCTGTGCAGACATCACAGGGTAGGGACAGTTTCATCCCTGGCTATTGGGTCCTGACCAGGAGAGTGACCCAGCCCAAGCAGAGCCCACCAGTCCTCTTTAGGCCAGGAGTGGCTGACTGATGCCACTGTGGTTCTGGGTTCAGGCCTGTCCTGCCTAACTCCAATATGTTGTCCAGCTGGTTACCCGCTCTGTAGGACCAAATTTCTAGCAAACCAAGGGTTAGTACAGCTCTCCACATTGATTCCACTCTCCGTTGCACCACCTCCCGCCAAGGGTCCTGGGCTCCCCAACTCCCAATTTCGGCAGCAGTGACTTCAGCATGATCGTGAATCCTCTGACTCCAAGGCGCATCCAGCACAACGCGGGACTGGCCCCAGTGAGAGTATCTGGTTCCAGCCTTTTGTCCACGTTTCTCCTTTCTTTTTATTTTTTTCTTTTTCCTCAGTTTCTTCCTGAGTCGTAAGAATCCCTCTCCTTTCTTCTGGTCTTCTCCATGTTGTTAAATTCTAGCATCTGAGTTGTTTTCCTCAGAGAGGCTCTGTACCCTGCTACCTATCAATCCGCATCTTTCCAGGATCTCCAGTTTGAATATTTTTATTTTACTATTTTTCTCCCAGAAAAGGATATATTTTTATTCGAGTAACTGCAAAATAGGAAACCAGAAGGGGAGCCTTAGGCTGGGATGAATAATGGCCCCCTCCAGGACAAAACTACATCCTTCCCGGTCCACGCACTCTGCTGTGTCCTCAGAGCAGTGCCCACCTTCGCTGGGACTGGGGTGTTCCTCACGCAGCCTGGGCATCCCAGGCCCTGTCCCTTGCGAGAGGGAACAGGGCAGAAAGAGGAGGCAGTGAGGATGAATGTCTGGTGCTGGTGGCAGCAGCAGTGTCAAATGTCTAAGAATGAAACATTGAACAAAACCCAACACAGCTGTCCAGAGGTAGTTTGTGAACAGCCAAGGATGGAACCAGAACCTTGGGGGTAGGGAGGAGCCAGAGAGCAGGGCAGTGGAGCAGGCTCGGGTTTCAGCGCCCTTGGGAGTCGGCAGCCTCAGTGTGAGCAGGAGGTGGGTGAGCGCCCGGCCTTAGGCGGCTACCACGGGGCACCTGTGTCTCACCTGGGCAGCAGGTGACCGCCAAGCTCTCTTCTTGCGGAAGGGCATGGTGGGCGAGGGCTCCAGCTTCTGCTCTGCCCTCTACTCCGAGGGGCTGACCAAGCTGGCGGAGGACCAGCGAGGGTGCCAAGGAACAGAAGCGGTGTGAGCCCTGCCGGGGTTAGACTGGCGGGGGCCCTCGGGGAGCCAAGCGACCCCCAGCCCCGGCTGCAGCCAGCACAGTGGGGTGGGGCACGGCAGAGTGAGATGGGGCCAGCGCCCCTTAAGGCCAGGGGCGTCCTCTCAGGTCCCTCAAGGTCACAGTAGAGGTGCAGAAGGAGCCCTAAACCAAGAGCCGCTAGAGCTGTGGCCCACAGGCGGGCAGATGCGGGGACCTCAGCCTGGGGGTGCGGATGGGGTGTGCGCGCCAGCACCCTTGATTTTGCTCCTCTTTGGTGGGCCCCCCTCTCTCAGGTGTTGGCTCACCAGGTTCTTCGTGGCCGGCCGGGCCTGGCTTCTCAGTGCTGCCTTCCTGCCTGGAGGCAGGGGCTGGCTGGACTTGGAGCTCCGCTGTCACCGACTTCTCTGCGGGCAGGTGGGGCGCCGCTGGGGTGTGCTTTGGAGACCCTCAGCGCCAGAATTGCCTCAGCGCGTAGTCCCAGTAGAGGACAGTTTGAATGTTTTTAACCCCTCCAAACAGTCATGTGCTGGCGACTTAATCCTCAGTGTAACAGAATCGGGAGGTGGCGCCTTTGGGGAGGTGCTTAGGAATGATTACTGTCACTAGAAAAGGGGCTTGGCACAGTGGGCTGGCGCTCTTGGCTTTCTACCTCCACATGGAGACATAGGAAGAAGGCACAGACCAACCACACGGGGGCGCTCTGACCTCGGGCTTCTAGGCCTTCAGAACCGAGACAATGAATTGTTTTTATTAAATTACCCAGTGATATTTTCAGCGAAGAGCGCTAAGGCAGTCTGCATCATCTTTGCTTATACTCTTTGATATGAAGGGGCCTCTCTTTTTCTCCCATGTTCACTCTATGCACTGGGCCTTCTGTGGATCTCATCAAAGGAACCGACAGAAACCTGTGAAGATGAGGAGGAACCTGGGCCAGTTTTTCAGTTTCATTACTCAGGAGCGCTCTGCTGTCAATGAAGGGCTGAAAATAGAGCCTGGGCAACCTTCTCTGGTTATCAGAGGAAAGTCTGCTAGGAAAGACTTTCTACCTGCAGCTGTTTCCCACAGATCAAGGAACCTTACTACATTAAGGTTCCTTAAGACTACATTTATTTTCAGTTCCTTCATCCCAACTCCATCCTAGTACAAATGAGCTGGAAGAGGATATTCACCTCAGGGTCTGAGCATCCTTGCATACTAATTAGATATTGCAGACCACAAATTATAAATTGAGTCTAGAGAGTGCCAAGGCCATCATTGTCCTGCCTTTGAGCCAGACTGGAAGGAGGAAGCTCCCTGCCTCCTTCTGGCCACAGGTGAAGCTAGTGACACTGTGGTACTCACAGGGCAAGATAAGAACTGCCGAGGATGACAAAGATCTTCAGAGCAATGTGGCAGCAGTAGTGAAAAGTTTTATGTGAGGAGGCTACACTTTCCTTACTGCCCTTTATCTCATCCTTGCCAGAATGCTTGGCTCCCTTTTTACAAGCCTTCCCTGCCGAGGCACTTATCCAGCACATCCAGCCATAATCCCCTCACCACCTTCCTGATTGTGAACATCCAGCCATAATCCCCTCACCACTTTCCTCATTGTGAATGTGAGCAGTAAATACCCAGGTTCTGGCTGACGTGACCTTGTGTTCCTTGTGAATAACGGCACTCCAGATCTCCACTGCATCACCATTTTGTCTCTTGCTTTCTTTTCATTATGCACCATAACACTTTGCAGGAAGTTGGGGACTCACTGCAGGGGTCCCTGATAATTGGGTATGCCAAGAATGTAAGAAGAACTTGATAAACCTTTATCTATGTCCCCAATGCTTGTGTTTATACTAAGTCACCTTGAAGCATGTGATGACAGCTCCTGTTGGATAAAGAAGCAGGATTGTTTGGGCTTATTAAAAAGCAGTGACTAGCCCAAGCTCAGGGTTCCTCTCCAACAACATAATCCACTTGTGTAGGTTCTCACTGACACTCAGTGTTGTGCCTGTAGAGCACAGACAAACAGGGAAACTGACATAGCTTTTGACACAGCTTTTGCTCTTTAGTAGTAAAAGGCATCTGCTTCTCTCTTAGGTGTCCTTCATAGAATCCCACAAAATAGCAACAGACTGATTTGTTAGTTCACAAGTAAGGTAAATTCTCAGACCCTGCACAGCTATTGACAGAAATTAATTATTTTCTTCTTGCTAAGTAGCTAGCATTCTGGGCACTGTAACTTTACTATCAATAAATTTATTATAGTATGATCTATTACAAAAGATTGTTTTCCAAAGACTTAGTCAATAACATTACAAAAACAAGCAACCCTCTAATTTCTGTGAATTTATCTGTGTATGTCCAAGCCCAGTAATAATTTCAGTGTCTGTTTGCAGCACTAAGAGTACTAAATCCAGTGCTCGGCGCCATGCCTCGATCTTTGGTGTGACAACATCATAAACTCTTGGAATTTGCTCTGGTTTATTTGAAATGCCCAAGTTAAAAATTCCACTATTTAGTTTATTGTATTCTTTCAAGATATAAGCTGATGGGCAGCCAGAGTCTACCGCATTTTGTACATGATGCTGAACGAATGTGCTGGCTTCCAATTCTGATGAGTAAGTGGCGGTGTTACATAGAAGAGCTGAGAGGTATCTGTGCCATCCATCTGCCAGGCACTTAAGCACAGTTGGTCTGTAACTTGCCAGAGATGAGGCAAGCCAAGAGGAAGTGTCATGAAGCCGCCCCAAACAGGCGTGATCTCCTTTTTGTAGAGGCTGCTCAGCAAGAATGTGGAGATGGCTAAGACACAAAAATTCAACTGCGCTGCCTCCAAGGAAGACCTTCTCCTCTTTTAGAGCATGATGTACACGATATGCACAGGTCCAGAACCTGTCTTCTTTGGTTTGCATCTGCGCCCTGACTGGGCTAGTGAGCACTGCTGTAATCATACTAATTCCTTCTGTTTTTAATAAGATTGCCATTCTGTTGCTTCTATCTAAATCATCCAAGGGGTTTCTCCAGAAGGTCACAGATACCCCACTGCCCACACAGTCTTCATTCACTTGTGTGATATAGGCCACCTGCACTGCTCCTGTAGCCTCTGCAAAAGTCTGCATCACACGGCCATTCACTGACCCAATGATCAGCTGGTTTCTGTGCCTGCACTTTTCAATTAAGTGTTCAGATACATTTCCTTCTACCAAGATGAGATTCACACTGAACTTGATTAATAGCTGTAGGACATGATTTGCCCACAGTTCTTCTGAGCTGTCTTCTTGAAGCTTGACGCCATCTAGCACCGTTTTAATATGTGTAGACTTATTAAATCCCAGGTGGCGATAACTCTCTGTGAGGTCACCCTCAATGAGAACTACCCGGATAGGCCGATTTTGCAATTCCTGGATCATAGCAGCACTAGATATTGATACTAGAGTGATATATCCCGGACAAACACAAGAAAAGGTTTCAGGTAAGCCTGGTAGACAGAAAGTGAAGAGTCTTGAAATGTCAAACATAAATGGCGCTGCACGGCTGCCTGGTTGCATACACGCATTCTGATACTGCAGCCGTACTGCTGCTTCTACGAGTTGCATGCTGCTCCCGTCTCCGTGACTCAAGCCCACTGCCAACTCAACCAAATCACGACATCCGTAAGTTTGGAAAGTAGCAGCACCACACTGTTCCAGAAATCTATTTGGTGTGCATATCCCTTGATTATTATCTGTCCTTTTAAAATGCCTACTGTGGATGAGTACTGATTTTCTGAAGCAGGTATCTGTATGCAGATTTTTCAGAGTTTGTGATGTGTTTTTACCTGCTTCAACTGTAGCCTGAGGTTTGAAGAATTTAGGTGATTTACCAGGTTTCTCAGAAAGACTGTAAGTGGCTAACTGAGGTACATCATCTTTGAGATCCTGTTTTTCCGGTACTGAAATAGCCTCTGAAAGGTCTTGTAGCAAAGAACTGCCACTAACTGTTTCGAGTCCAGAAACTGCCTCTGTGCTGTCCATATGGTCAAATATATTGTGGACCGGTACCTGAAGGGAAACTACCTCCTCACTACAAGAGTTCAAGCCTTCCGACATGACTGACACTATGATAGGAATGGGGACACCCAGATGGAGACATTCTTCAACAGCTCTGCTCCACGCACCAGCAAGAAATAAAAGAGTGGTGGCTCCAGTTCTGTATGTGTCATTCTGTGCTTGAACTGCTTCATTGAGAAGCTGGCCCACAGCACTGGTCGTATCTAAACTTTCAAGAAGCCTTACTGTTGAACTGACCAATACACTTTTGTGACATCCTTCATCAGTAATAAATTTTGATGATTTTACTGGACCTAAGAATGCTCTGCCTGTTTCTGCAAATGAAGAAAGCTGTTGAAGTCCCACATGCCTTCTTTTGTTTATGATCCTGCAGGCCATCACGGTGAGACATCACCTGAAAAGAAAATAAAAACATGGAACTTTATTCCAGTGTGATTCATGTTGTACATGCTATATACAAGGAAAAAAAAGATACAGTCCCTGTCTTTGAAGTGGGGTCAGTTGCAAGGATGTAGTATATTGTTGATGGTACGGGAGCAGAGCATGGAGGATGACCACTTCATCCAAAAGGGGAAACGAAGCATACTGGCAACAGGGGATGTTTCCAAAAGAAGGCAGTCCCTGGAGTGAGTCTTGAAGGATAACTTGAAAGCATTAGCAAGTTGAAGGAGATGGTAGTAAAAAATACAGTATCTTGGGGGTAATACATTTTGAGGGCTCACTGTATATGAGGCACTTTACATGAGTTATATAATGCAGCCTTCAAAACAATGATAAGGTAGGTACTATAAGTAGCCTATTTTAGTGATACAGAATGGTGCACAACAGATAACATATTACAGAGTTTCACAGCTAGTAAGTAAAAGGGGATTGACTCCAACTAAGGTTTGTCAGAGTCTAAAGTCTGTGCTATTATTAAGTACCACACCGTAGTTACCTCCTGGTTGCCCTTCTATACAGTATGACAGTATTTTCTTCTTTCATCTTTAGAACCTTCTTCATGTCCCTCTTTCAAAACCTCTGCTTTCTTCTAAGCCTTGTTTATATTCTGCTTATGGGCAACTGTCTATGCTATGCATAATACAAGATATAATTATGTGAGTGGGAAAGAATTTAGAACAAAAGGAAAAGTATCATGAGCTATTTCAGATGTAAACTGTATTGAATTTACATGGAAAAAGATTTCCCAGACAAAGAAGGCATGAAGTTAAACAAAACTAATGTAAAAAGACTCATAAGTTGATATCCAAATAAATATTCAAAAGAGATCTGTTTCAGCATTTGAAGCAGCTACTCCAAGTTTGAGTAATAATTAAAAAATAAAGCCTTAGCATTCCAAACTTTGGAAGTGCTCCTAATTTTGAAGAGGTTGCAGTGAGCTACAATGAACACAAAATAAAAACTGAAAACAATTTTTCATCTTCTAAGAGGCTGAGTATAAAAGACCAAAACAGTGAAGGTGATGGTGAAATGGATAATTTCAAAGATGGTAAGTGCTTCTGGCAACTGTGCCTGACAATGCACTGACGCACTCTCATCCCTGTCCTGCTATGCATCAACACCAACGTCTCCACAAATGGTTATGTTTTCACTGCTTGATGTTTCACTAGCTTAATGTTGCTTTAACATTCTAAGTGTGTAACAGAAGAGCAGACTCAAACTATTTAATTAGGAATTTGACATGAGAAGAAGTGTTCTTTTCATAATTCCATGTCTAGCCTTGTCTAGGTACTGAGTTTAGAATGTCAATACATGCTTTTTAGGAGCTGCATAAAAAAATCAGTATTTTCTGATGAGCACGATTAGCCCTTTCATCATCACACTCAACAAGCTTGCTCATCTTCAGTTTATTCCAAACACAGTAGCGTAAGCCACCCCACTGTTTAAAACAACTCTGAAGTCTCCTTTCTCTGACACAGAAGTCCCTTTAAAAAATTAACTCAGATCCCTTCATTGCAATGCTCAAAATCTTGCAGAACCTTGCCAATTCACTCCGAGTGAAAAGCCATAGTTTCTACCATGCTCCCCAACACACCTCCCCTGCTCCCACACTTCACTTTCCCCTCCTTTCCATTCCTGGGACACACGAGGGATGTCCCCTACACTAGTGTTCCCAGTTTAGTGGTTCTCTCTCCCTGGAATGCTCTTCTCCAAGAAACATACTGCCTTACCTCCTTCCAACATTTTCTCAAATCTCCTTTTTAATGAAGGCTACCCTGCCTATCCTACTAATATTACAAACGCTTCTTTTTTTCTGTAAAGCTTATTACCTTATAAAATAGTGTATAGTTCATGTATTATTTTTGGATTATCACTGTGTTGGCATGCTATTTTCACTTGAGTAATCTTGGTCATTTTGGTACCCAAGTACCTAGAAGAATAGTGCCTGACACATTTTTTTTTTTTGGTACTGGGTATCAAACTCAGGACTTCATGCTTGCCAGGCAGTGCTATGCTATTGAGCTATATACCTGACCCCTGACACAGTTTTGGAAGCACTCAATAAATATTTGGTAAGTGAATATATGTGCTTTTCACCATACTCGCTATTCTAAACTTGATTTAAAAAATAGGAAGAAGAGAAGACAGATGCCACTAATAGTATTCCTTCAGCATAAATCTAAGTCTCTGCTCCCCGTGGAATTGACATGATTCTTATTAGGCACTTGCCTTAGTTGAAGCTCTATAACTGCTTCTAAAGAGGGTTGCTCCTCCATGTGGTTGTCAGAATTATCTCTGAAAGAGCAAAATAAATGTAAGAAGACACTGCTAAAAATATTTATTTCAGACAACGAAGTCTTTACTTCTTATTTTAATCTAGGTGTTTTATAACTTAACCTCAACCTTATTTATCAGACTCCTCTTGCACTTTTTCTTTAAAAGTCTATAAACTTTTCCACAGAATGTATCATTTATTTTCACTCTGAACACGTTATCTCTGATTTGAACATCTTAGTTTCTCTTCACCTCCTTGAAAGCTACATCTATCACAACCTAAGGCAAATACTACAAGATTGACATAGCTTTCTCCAAGGCCTCAGGGACTAGTCTTTCCTTTCTACGCTGCCAAAGCAGTAGCCACCTGTATTTAAAACACTATGTTTGGGCTGAGGATTTAGCTCAGTGGTATAAGCACCTGCCTTGCAAGCAGGCAGTCGTGAGTTCGATCCCTGGTACCAATAAAAAGGAAAAAGACAATAAAATAAAAACACTATGTTTGTGTATGTTTCCCCCACTAATCTGTGGATTCCTGTGTTTTACTAATCTTTTATATTCTAAGTCTACCCCAACTCCCTCAGACTCATCTAGTTGTTAGCATAGACATGTAGAAAGCATCTAATGGATTTGGTACATTTGAGAATAACTATGGGTTTAATATTTTTCTAGATTTTTGTTAAAATTCTAATATACAATCAGATCAGTATATGCTACTTTTCGAGACTGAGTACATCTTTAAAAAATTGGAATCTGAGCCTATCATTAAAAATATTACTGGAATATCCTAAATATGAGAGTTTAAATATAGACGTAAAGACAGGCTAACACAACTTGCCTATTACTTGCCTCTAGATCAAACTAGCTCTAAGAAACTTTAGACACTGGAATTAACTTGGGTGTGTACTTGGTCAAGATGCATTTCTAGGTCTTAGAAATGCTTTCGAATTAACATTAAAGATGAAGGACATGAACTAGAAACTGAACAACAGCAAGTTTCTAGGTGAGATAAAACCATTAGACTTAAGTGACTTTTAACGCTTTTAATTTTACTTAATTCACAAATATCTTGAATTTATATAATTTTACTTTTCACTGAGAAATTACTTTTAATGTCAAGAAAATGCTATACATTTCCCAAAGCTTAATGGTTGCAGTGTTTGGGTATCTGTCTGAGATGTAACTGAACAAGAAAGATTAATAGCTTTGGAAAATGAGTCATGATTGATTTACTAATGTATAAAGAATGATTTGGGAGACTGCTTCAGGAATGTGCGTGGCACATTTTTTCTGCTCTATCTTCAAGGAGATTGAGACAAAGGAAAGAAAGACTAGGCAAAGTCAATATTCTTCCTGAACCCACTGTTGGAGAATCCGGTATAATCTTTAGAAAATAAAGTATTTACTCTAGAAAAGGATTACAGGAAGCATAAAAGGGGTCCGAATATACAAGCAATCAAAGGTTGGGAGTTTTAAGATCCTATCACCTCTTCATTCCTACCCCCTACGAAAATCACGTGTAAAGAGTCTCTCCCTAGAGAGAAGCAAAACTGCCCACTTCCTTTCCCCCATTCCCACTCTTGGGATGCCCGATGCCTCGCCTACACTGAAATTTTGATGCCTACGATGACAGAATCCCTGCCAGTCCACGTAGGAGAGGGGCGGATAAAGGCCCAGGCACCGTGGGATCCGTGGAATGTCTAACCACGCGGAGAGGACAGTCCTTTCCCTCTGCAGTGCTCCCCTCCGGATGCTGAACCAATTCATCGCAGGCCACCAGACTCTAGATTCTCATCCTTTCCAGAACGGAAGGGGTCAGAAAAGCAAGCCAGGTCTCCCTGCGTCTTCGCCAGGGTTAGCAGTCTGGGGAAGAAACTCGCCACTAACCTCACGGCTTTTCCCCCTGCCAGCGTGGGGCTAGAGTCTCTGGGTTCCCACCGCAGGGGGCGGATCTGGCTGGAAGCCGGACGCGACACTCAGGGAAACCGCGTCCTCTTCAGCGTCAGCCGCTGGACCCGCTAGAGGAGAGCAGTTCTGTGGTTTGAGAAATCTAGCCCCAGAGGAAATTTCCGCTTGGCGGTGGGCGGAGAAAGGGGAAGCACAAAGCTATTGGTAGAGAGTAGAAGAGGGCGTGCCTCAAGCGCCGTATTGTTTGACTATTGGATAGAATGACCGTCAATTAATAGCGCTCGGAGGGCGGGAATTGTGACGCTGGGAGCGCTGCCTTAGCAACTGTTTCCTAGCTACAACGGCAGTTGGTCTGTGCAGCCGACGGGTGAAGCCGGAGTCCTCGGCTTGAGGGCGCTAGTTGGGGATATGGTGAGTGTGATGCTGTGATCTCCTGAGAGTGGGGCTGGTAAAGGAAGGGATTTATTTATTTATTTATTTATTTTTAGTTTAAATGTATCATTTCACGATCCTCGAGTGCCGTGAGTAAGCCAAATAGGAGCGTACTGTCCGTGACTCTAGGAATAGATGAGCGGGTATCCAATTAATTCCCCCCTCCACTTCAACCTTAACAACTGCAGATGCCAACAGTCTACAGTTAGCAGCGTATTAGAAACAAAACAGATCCTTAGGTAGGAAGGAATTGAGTGCAGAGAATAAATGTTCAAAGCTGTCGGAGGGCTCAGGGAGCGGACTGGCGGCCCCTACCTGGCAGGGGAACTACTGAATTCTAGGTTGGCTAGTTGAGGATTCAGAAGCTGCCTTTGAAAAACTATGAAGACCACAGAGGTGTTACTGATGGTCCGGAAATCCCGAATCCACGGCTACCGTGGCCAGCGCTTAACACACTTGATGCTGGCGGCTCGGATCCCCAGCATCGTGGAGTCCAGGTGCTGCTTGCGCTGCCACTGGTCATTCACCCAGAGCTGCAGACTCAGTACCAAAACAAGGCTGCAGAGGACCCAAGGAGTAACTGTGACCTGGCTCACTGGCAGGAACCAGCAGAGAGACGACTCCACCTTCTACGTATTAGGTGGCCCAACATTCTTGTATAAATCTTTGAAGTCGTTTTTTACTAGAAAACGTGGCTTTTAACTTTCCCCACCTCTGTCATACAGTATAGTGTGGCAGAATAAAATGGGAAAGGATACTGTGTTCCAATCAAGCATCATCCCAAATAAATTTTATTGTGAAACATATACGTATTTATAAAAATATATATATATTCCTCAAATGAATACTTTTCAGATATACCATGTAAGGCTAACTGTATTTTTACATGACACTAAACACATTGTCCTTTCTTTCAAGAGGCACTATTTTTGTTTGTTTGCTGTTCTTGTTTTTTGAGGCAAAGTCTCACTGTGTAGTTCAGGCTGGTCTTGAACTTACTATGTAACCTCAGGCTCACGGTGAGCATCCTGCCTTAGCCTCTTGCTTGCTGAGATTATAGGCATGAGCCACCAGCCCTGGATTCCAAAAAGCTCTAATTTTAAGGAAAGATCTAAGTGGGGGGAAGCATACACACACACAAAGCCATACCAATAATTAAAATCACAAATGTTAGCAAGGAGAAAAAGAGGAAACCATTTGGGTCATTGTATAGTAGGAAATAAGACAGGCTTATATATGTCCATTTATGAGATTTAATTGATTCATCATCAATTATTCTGTTTATATAGTTCACCTTTCACTCACATATATATTTCTTACAGGCATCCAACTACGATACAAGTTTAGAGCAATGGAAGAAAAAAGCAGAAAAAATTGAATTGAATGAAACTCAAAAGCAAGAAATTAAAGAGGCTTTTGACTTGTTTGATGTAAATGGATCTGGAACCATACAAGTGAAAGAATTGAAGGTTCTGAAATTATTTCTAATTCTTACACTAAAAGCCTTATCATTTATTTATAGAAATCTTTAAACCTTCATTTAGTAGTAGTTTTTGGAAAACCTGATATAAAATCTCTTCAGAACATGCATCTGCCCTGCATTAGCAAATCTTGTTAAACATTTTGTGTTCTATAGATCAGTGGAACAGAACCCAGGGGGTGGCAACGTAGGGTCAGAACCTGAGCCTGCTGATCTAATTTCCTACGTTTATGCTCAGTTCATGTTAACAAAAGAGAGTTAAAAAGGAGAGAAAAAGAGAGATAGACACTCAGAGACAGAGAGACAGAGAGGAAGGGAGAGGGAGACCATTAGTAACCATCGTAAAGCTCAGAATAAAATTATAGCAAATAAAGATTATTTCTTTCATATTTCAGATCGCAATGGAGGCCTTAGGATTTGAGCCAAAGAAAGAAGAAGTTGAACAGATGATAGCTGAAATCGACCAAGAAGGAGTTGGCATGATTAGTTTTGAAAACTTTTTTGCCATTATGAGTGTAAAAATGGTAATCATGATTTTCATTTTCAAAGAGATGTAAGCAATAGCTTTCTAGATTTTGGGGCTGGAGTGATCAGAGGTTTCAGAGAACTGGAGCTAGGATTTTAAAGATGGGTAGGATTTAGATAAGAATAGCAAGATTAAGGAGGTTTCTTGAGACGGTAATAAAAGACTGCGTGATGTGGCGAAGAGGTTCTTTTCAGGAAATAATGATACTGTAGCATGTGGCAGGAAAAACAAAATCTAATCTCGATTTTAAAGCCTCAAATTTGTAAACACATAGTGAACAACTATTTTTTTGACAGTCCTTGAGAGAGGCAGTTTCTTGCAGTTTATAGTTTTGGGTAAGCATCTGCATTGCTAGGTGTACTTTATTTTGTGAGGTTTCCAGCTTCAACACATACACTGAAGTACCTTGATGGTAGATGTGAGCACCTTGGAAAAGCTGTCAAAAGTCCTGGTACTTTGCAGATCAAGAAGTGAAAGATCTACTAAGTCCAACTGGATGAGTAAATAGAAAACTAATTATAGCTGTATCTTTTCCTAAAAGAGTGAACAAGATGAAAAAGAAGAAATATTGAAGGCTTTCAAATTATTTGATGATGATAATACTGGGAGCATTACACTAAATAATATAAAGAGGGTTGCCAAAGAACTAGGGGAAAATTTAACAGACAATGAACTCCAGGTAAATCTTGACTATTTTTTATCATAATTTATGCATAATTGTATATGGCAATTTGTATATTAAACTGTATTCTAGAGCTGTGATTTTTTTTACTGAAAATAAAATTTGAATAATATTTGAGATGGTAGGATTACTTACTTACTCACTTTTAATAGTTCCCATGTATAATTTTACATTTTGTTTTACAGGAAATGCTCAGTGAAGCTGATTTTGATGGAGATGGAGCAATAAATGAGGAAGAGTTTTTGAGAATAATGAAAAAGACCACTCTTTACTAATAGTTTTCTGAGCCTTCTGGAATGCTGCCCATGCATTTATATTCATTATACAGCCCAATAATACAGTGTCTGAGCATATTTATTTTCAATTGTTTTTATTTGTGTCCACAAATTGGTCTCTTGATGTCTAATCCACTAAAGTTGCATTTATCTATTAGATTGTTGAATCTGCAGCACTGACAAAGAAAGCAATGATTTCTTTAACCCATGAATCCATGAATAGTATTAAAAGCCCCTGTGTTCCAAACAATTAAGATCTTTTTTAAGTTTAATGAAGTTGGTACCACATTCAAGTTGAATTTGGGAAATGATTCATTGCTGTCTCTAATATTTTTGTGCAACTCTAAAAAAAGTTGACCAACATTTGCTTTATAGCCAAAATTTCAAATATGTAAAGTATTAATTGAAACTAGAAACATTATTTGCAAACCTTACTGCAATGATTTGAATAAACGCCTGCTAAACGTCAGGTGTTGCCAACGCCACGTTAGTAAGAAGTGAGGCCTTAGAGAGGTGGTGAGGCTGTGCACGTCTCCTTCCTCAGCAGGATTAGAGCCCTTTTAAAGGAAGCTTCACGAAACCCGTCTGTATTCCGCCATGGGAGAGCACAGGAGCGATGCCCTCACCAGACCAGGGGTTGGTGCTTTGATCTTGGACTTTTCAGCTTCAGAACTATGAGGAATACCTGTTCTTTACAAATTACCCACTTGTCACATTTTATTATTGCCTCAAAAATGGATGAAAATAGGCACAGATTCTAGGAAACCAAGGTCACTGATAGCCATTTTGGAAACTGATTGCCCTATTAACTAAATCCGTGACTATTGCTTTTACTACCAGCCAACTTAGAGATAAGAGCCATATCTTACTCATCAGTATATTATTGTTCACAGCACTGGCACATAGTGGACAATCCCCCAAATTTTGATATCAATTTAAATGATTTGCCTTTAGTATCATTGATTAGTGAACTATTTTAACCAGCTACCTTTATGAAAGGTTCTTAAGTTGCACATATACTGTTGGATCTGATCTTTTGCTGATCTGAAGGGAAATATAGATAACTGTGTACGAATTAATTTGCGATGACCATCAGTGAATTCTGAGATCTTTTGCCAACATGCTCCAAGCCTTATGTGACATATTAGATAAAGTTTCATTATTTTACCTGCCTTTGTGAAACTATAGTGATTACTTTCCTTTTTTATTGCTGCCTTTATATTTAAAAATTATCTTTGTAGTACTGGGGATTGAACCTACTACCTTGCAAATACTAGGCAAGTATTTTACTACTGAGCCAAATCCTCACCCAAACTTTGCTTGTTTTTTTTAAAAAAAAAAGTTACAAATCTCAAAAATATTTTGTGTAGAAAAGCATTTTGAGATGTAAGTACTCTATCGAATCTTTCTTTGTCCACTGTGGTGGAGTTATTTTCTGCTAAAGCAGGCATAGAAACCTGAATAGGTGCCAGAATGTTTAGTCTCTGTCTCTGGATTTTCCTGAACTACCAGTATTCACAGGGTCATTTTTAGAACATCAGGCATTTTAGTAGGGTACATGACAGCTAATCCTTCAAACATAGAGCAATTTTAAACAGATGTAATACTTACAAAGCTCTTATTTCAGTGTGGAATTAAATCTAAATCATAACTAAAAAGTGAAGATTTTATTTTAAATGGAAAATTCTGTGGCATGACAAAAAATCCTTTTTTTGCCTTCAGAAATAAGCTATAGTAGAAATAAAATAGTCATTGTGAGAATAAATACTGCTAAAAGATGGAATATTGATATTTTACCATTATAAGGTCTGAACATCTGTAGGAATCATGAAGTAAACTTTTATAAATTGAAGGATGAAATAAAGGCAAAAAACAAATAACATGGAAATGTATGCAACATTTATGGCAAAACAAAGTTAATTTAGTTCATGTATAAATAGTTCCTGCAGACAAATTACATTTAAAAATTCAGTTGAAAAATAGGAGAAGGACATGGATAGACAGTACACAGGAAGAAAAAGAAAAACAGATTTTAAGCGTAAAACCAATGCCTTGGGTAGGGGTGGGAATTGTCAAAAAACATTATGTGCCTACACAAATATGCCAGATAAAGCCACTACTATTCATATCAACTATATGAACTAATCTAAAAAAATGACAATGCCACCCATAAAAGAAGTGAACTTTAAAATTACAATTAGACATGACTTGCAATTTAGCAGATTGATAGAAATCAAAGAATTTGATAAATAGCTTATCAAAGAATAGGCATTTTGAACATTATTTTGGGGATGCAGTTTAGCAAGTATCTTTTCTGAAGCAATTCTATCAAATTTTAAAATACATGTTTTTCTGACACAATTTGTAAAATACATACCCACAAAGACATACACAGTAGAACCTTGGTTTCTGAGCATAATTCATTACAGAAACATGGTTGTAAACCAAAGCACTTGCATATCATAGTGAATTTCCCCATAAGAAATAGTAGAGTCTCAGATAATTCATTCCACAACCCAAAAATATTCATATAAAACTGATCACAGTACTGTAATATAAAATAAAAAACACAGATTATGAAAAAAAAGTAACCTGCAATTAGGTTTGAAAACTTTTGTGGCTGGTGTGAGGGAGACACCAGAGAGGAGGGTTATTGTGTAAGGTGGCTTTTACTGTCACTATTGGAATCACTGCTATCTATTGGCTCAATGGCATTTATTTGATGCAGTTTAACAAGGAATCCATCCAATGACACGTGCTGTTGCCCCCTTGTGCTGACTTCATGGAAATGTGATATTGCATTGCTAAACAGATTCGTGGCTCACACTGCTACAGCCTTACTTGGGTGCTGCTTTTCTATAAAATTTTGCAGCTTCTCACATTTTACACATCTCTCTCTCTAATCTGATTTGAAGTAAAGGAGTCCTCTTTCTTTCTCTCCTCCTCCTCTGCTGATAAGATCTCTATAACCTCTTGCTGTTGGGAGACAGATCCCCACAACCCAAAGTGGGAAGGAGAGGGAAGCAGGGAGGGGGTGGGGGGAGAGAGAGAGAGAGAGAGAGAGAGAGAGAAAGAGAGACAGAGAGGAGAGAGGAGAGAAAGGAGAGAGAAGGAGAGAACATTGGCTGAATTATGATTATGTGATATTCTGCATGTACTACTTGTATTGCAAGACATTGCTCCTGTATCAAGTTAAAATTGATTAGAAATGCTTGCTTATCTTGTGGAGCTTGCAGAACAAGTTACAACCCAAGGTTTTGAGATATATATATATATATATATATATATATATATATTTAATTTTAAACCAAATACTAGAAACAAACTATATGTTCACCAACAGAGGGCGGTCAAATATATGATTTACATATGGATTGTCTATTTTTCTATTAGATTTTTAATTATTATTGGTCTCTAGGAACTCTTTATACATAAATCATTTTCATCCTTTCGGGAGACGGTTTTGGTCAAAATTGAGGCTTTCCTGCTTCAGCTTTGCCCTTCCTCCTAGGATATAACACTTTTGCCGCTCAGCTAAAAGCCCAGGCTATTCACTGGCATCTCTTTTGCTCCTCCTGCTTCCTCTTACTGGACTAGGACTCAAACTTGCATCTTTGCAGCGTCACACAGCTGGTAAATTCAACTTTTGCTCTGTTCTTTGTTTCCTTTGATTCTGTTTTTTTGTTTGGGCTTTTGGGTCTCTTCCTGGGGATGTGGACCAGGAGTCAGCCAGTGACCTGGAAAGGGAGAAGGCTGGATGACTTGTTCCTTTCACTTCACCTTGAGTGCTCACTCTCTGTAATTTCTCCTCTCAAATCCTAGCCACTGGGGCAGCCGCAAAATTCAACATTTCTCAGCCCATGAAGTAGGAAACCCTCTGCTTGGGTCTATTTCCTGTTTTGTGAAGTTGATAATGCCCTAGAGAAGAAGTGGCAGTGACAGCAGAGCTCCCCTCTCTGCTGCTCCTCCCAAGGATCCTGGCCTGGCCTTTCCAATCGTGCCCACCATGTGCTTTCCAGGTTCTCCACAGAGTCACATTATGTATTAGGTTTCACTGATGTTTTTATCAGAAAGACTAGGTCATCACATCTGGAATCAGGAAGAATGTAAGCATTATTTTTAGGAAAATAAATCAGTCTGGTGAAATTCATTAAATTGGGAGAGAGTGCTAGCCAAACGGCCAGGTAGAAGCCTACTATAATAATTTCAACAAGGTATGGTAATGGCCTGCCTGGCTAACGAACAGCTGGATTTGGTATTTACTGGGAGGCTCCATGACATCTTTCATTCATGTATTCTTACTCTAATTCACTTGGATGAAGTAGTAACATCAAGTAACTGTTGTTTAGTGCTCACTATGTGTATGCACTGTTCTACCTCTTTTTACAAGGACTTTCTTATTTACGCCCATGCCTGTTGGGCACTGCTATTATTCTATTTCGCAGATGAGAAAACAGGTTAGAGGATTTAAATAACTACTTCACCATTATATGGTCAGTAAACGGCTCTTCTGAGCTGTGCAGCCAGTCCTAGGGCCTCCTGTTTCCTGACCTCTACATTCCATTGTCTTTCACCAGGCCTTTGAACAGGTTCTCTTTTAAAGAAGAAGCTGATGGTCCACAGCTATCAGCTGTGGGAAGAAAAACAATTTTTTTTTAACTTGGAGAAGTGAAAGAAGTAATGTTTGAAAGTGATAAATTGAACAAATGAAACTACAGAAAAATATGTATGTTAAAATATATATGTTTTAAAAAAAACTCAGACTACATGGGAAAATACATCAAAGAATCAACAAATGGGATCTCACTTTATTCAAAAGCTTTTGCATGTCAAAAGAAATCATCAACAGAGTGAAAGGACAACCCACAGAATGGGAAAAATGATAGCCAGTTGCCCTACCAACAAAGAACTTACAAATAGAACATAATAAAGAAATGAAAAAATCAGACCCCCCTCAAATTAAAAATCCCAATCCAAAAGTGGGAATCTGAGATGAATACACAGTTCTCAGATGAAGAAATACAAACGGCAAACAAATACATGAAAAAATGTTCAAAATCATTAGTCCTTTGAGAGATGCAAATTAAGACAACACTGAGATTCCATCTCACCCCAGAAAGAATGGCTACCATCAAAAAAATCATCAAATAGCAAATACTGGTGGGGCTGTGGGTGTAAAGAAACTCTTCTCTACTGTTGGTGGGAGTCTGGACTGGTGCAGCCACAGTAGAAATCAGTGTGGAGAATTCTCAAAAAACCTAGGATTAGAGGTCCCATTTGACCCACCTATTCCCGTTCTGGGTATCTTCTTAGAAGAATTAAAAACACACACACACACACACACACACACACACACACACACACCCCACGGCAATGTACGTGCATCCATGTTTAGAGCAGCACAGTCTGTAACAGCTTAACCTTGGAAACAATGCAAATGCCCATTAACTGAAGAAAGGATAAAAAAGATGTATTTGTACACAAGGGAGTACTTCTCAGTGATAAGGAAGGATAAACTCGAGGCTTTTATAGGTAAATGGATGCAACTCAAGAACATACTCATAAGTGAAATAAATCAAACTCACATGTGTAAACATCATATTGTCTCCTTAGTGTGAGAAACCCAGAGTAAATAAGATCCAAAATGTACAGTACATATTGTGAAATGGGAAGAAACTATTCAAAAGAAAAGAGAAACTTGGGTGGGGGAAAGGAGAAAAGAAGGAAGGAAAAGGAGAAAATACATACACAAGATGGTTAAGATAGTATACTTCTAATTTCTCTTATTTCATTGAAAGTAAAGGTTTGTGCTAACTTTTCATTCCTGTAACTACTTTAAAGATAACAATACACAATATAACTATTATTACTACCCTATTATTTTGTTTTGAAATTTTGTTATTTTACCTTTAAAATAAAAAAATATATGTCAAAATAAAATATGTTATATATTTATGTTATATATTTAAATTTAGTAGCAGAGTTGTGATTTCCCACTCAAATCATTTTTTTCCTGCTTTTTGGTGAAGGTTCATTTTAACTTATTTTCTTTTTAAAGAAAGTTTAATGTTTGTTAAATGAATGAAAGAGTACAATTCCACCAGTGAGGAGCTTCAATCCTGACTTCATTTTGTCACTGGAATTAGGCGGTGGGTCCACACCAGGCGCACAGCGACTGCTCCACTAGAGGGCGTCGAGGTTTTGTGTCAATTTGACAGTGAGGGTGTGGATTGATTTTTGCATCTCTTCGTAGTTCATATTATTAGCAATGGTTTTAAAGAAAGCTATGATTTATCTGGCACATTTTGGAGGAAAATATAAAGAGGGTGCATTCTTCTTCAGTTTCTTGATAACTAATTATTTACATTAATGAAAAGTCAAGAGTCTTATACAACAATATTCAAACTGTAGGCATTGAGTTGTCAGGAAAAATATATTACTGGAAAGGGTTTTTTTTCTAATATAATTTTGGAGGTATTTGGTGTTTCCCCCCGCTGTATGAAGTGGGGGCTGAGTTACTTCCTATAAAAGTGATTTAAAGAGAAACTCATCAAACAGTTGACAGTGGTTATGTTTGAGTGAGAAAATGATGATCTGAGATAGTGCAAAGACGTTTGCTTATTTACTATACCTCTGTGTTATTTGAGTTTTTACAATTTTTTTTAAATTTAAGTAAAAAACTCCCTCAATTTCATATAATGAATTTAAGGAGATAAAGATAAAATGATTTTGCAATATGTCCTAGTGTATACTATCTACCTAAATATGAAAAATATTGTGTCTGTGAGGCATTATTCAATATTCTACATGCATCATAATGGAAATTACACTGTATTCTTTAGCATCTCCTGGGGTTTATAGTGCATAGTGACATGCAGGTTCTGAAAAAGTCTTCAGAAATTAAACTTATTGGATCTGATCTAACTCAAAATATACCAATTTACTTGATAATGGAACACTTTTTTATATTTCACATTTAGCAAAACACATTAATACAACTCATTTTAAGGAAATCTGAGATACACAAAAAAATAGTGAAAATAAATTGTGTTCTAAATGAGGCTTTTCATATTAACTTTAAGATGATGAAAAAATATATAGGTATGTTCTACAATATTATTTTCAAAATTAAAAATGTGTAAGTACATTTCATTTCTCTTAGAAATATCTAAAAAATACAAATCAAAACATGAAACCACATTAAGAAAATGAAGGAAAAACTTGTAAATGCAACAAGTGACCCTACGATATCACTTACAAAACACCCCTAAGCAGTACTTAATGGTAAACACAGTAGTCAGATGGCCTTGGTTTCACTGCTAAACTTAGTTGAGAAGGCACTCTTCCTGCCCAAAGGACCAGCGAGAGTTCAGCCATCCCTCCATGAGCCCAGCAAGGGAATATCAGAGAGGCATCTGGCTGGAGACTACAGAGCATGTTGAAGAAACAGGACATCATTAGGAACACTACTTTTCAAGATGGAATTTAAATTTCAGGTGGAATCAGAAGGTAAGCAGGAGGCTGTGCTTTCCTTCCCTTGCAAATAGAGATAAGGAAGGGGAACAATTGTTGGTGGAAGCAGTGCTTGAGAACAGTTTGGGGCATATTAAAAATCAGGAAGGCCCGATAAGAATAAAAGATAGCAATTTAAATTGAGCAAGAGTATGAACTATATTCTTGCCCACACTTGCTATTATATAGGGACTATGTGTGTGAATATATAATGCAATCCTTCCAACTGTGTATTCTTAGTGAATTGGTAGTATGAAACTATGTATGTATTATATATTTAGATGTCATCAATCAAAATAATTTGCCATTTTTCTTTAAGTCTTTATTCACTTTTTTCATGAAATGTAGGTTAAAGAATCCCATCAGATATCTGATGTGGGTGATCCTGTCTAATTAACACAGCAAAATTTTGTTGTCTGAATTAGGTCAGACATGATAGAGATGAATTATCATGATAAGAATGTATTTTAAAAGGCTTTTTTGGCTGTATTAACATATATTAAAATTATAAACTGTTTTATGTGTTTCAAAGTTTACATGCTAGCATTTATAAGCATCCCTTTACCACTTGATTTTTTGCTGCCATATTTCTGAGATGCATTTATAATAATACAAGTTGTTAGAGTTCATTCATCTCCACAACTGCACGGGATTGTTATGTGAAGAAACTGCTTATTTAGTGACTTCTGATCCTCTCATTCACTCCGCTGCCTACCTACCCCCTGCTTAGCATTTTGGTTTTCCATTTCCTTAGAATTCAAGAACCTTACTTTCCTTTTGCTGATATGATTCCTCTTTATGTCGACATGAAATTTTATTGGGCCCTGAGGTACTTGTGAGTGAGCTGAGAAGTGTCCATCGGAGGAGATGGTTTCTTACGTTTCAATCGTGTAGACAGTCTATGAATCAAAAGGGATTTTTCAGAGTGAGTTTAACAATCTATTTTCATTGCTGTATGTGTCACCATTTTCCTGGAAACTCTTACTTATCAGGTAGAACTTTACCTAGGCAGGTCCTCTGACAGCTCAATCACACTCAGTGCTGGATTCCACAGTGAAGCCAGAAAGCTGCTAGTGTTGCTCTTGTTTCCATGGTAACTGTCTGAGGGGCCACCACTGGGATCATTGATTCACTGTAGGACCAAACAGAGAAGAAGGAACTGACTGGTGAGGAAAACCCCTTTTAGTCAGAAATTTTTCATTAGGAGGTCAAGACCTTTGAAAAATTAATGGAAAAGTACCAAACAATTCCTTTACGTATTTTTTTGTTTTAAATAGGTACTGCATTGGTCTTAACGAGGGAATTTTGCTTTCGTGTCATACTGAATCCCTTTCCCCTTCACTTCCCCTGCTCCTTTCCCTTTCCAGTCTGTTAGTTCTGTCCCCACCTTTTCCTTTCCATTGTCACAGGGTGCCTGTTACACCCAGGAGGACCTGGAATGGTGTGTTACCACGTGCAGCCAGCTCTAGATAGTCCCTTATGTAAATGTTGTTCTCTGAGAGAGAATCCAGTACACACTGTCCAAGCAGTGCTGTGCAGATCTCCTGCATTTTCCAGGGAAAAAGAAAGTCTCCTAAATAGCAATCAGGCGGGGAAGTTGAGAAGCTCTCCAGTTCCTCCTGTCTTAGATCATTATTATTCAATCTCAGGTTCTGAATGTTGAGAGTGTTTGTTTCACAATAAGATATAAAATGTAAAAGCATTAAAAATTAGTTTTTATTTTGCTAACTCATTATCATCTTTGGCAGGGAAAATTAACAAGTCACTGTAACAGCTAGGAAAGGATAGGCCACAGCATTAGGCAATATACCTAACATCAATAAAAAGTCTTAGGATGAAGGTTGTTGCAGTCCTTCAGGGAAAAGGCAGAAACACTTGAACATTTCTATGTAGCAAACTGGTTGATTGTTGGTGGCTGCTCCTTAATTTCTACTCTCCAGGTACTGTGCTACCACAAAAGGGTCTTGGAGCTTTGAAAAAATTGTATTTACGTAGATAGCCAATAGACATCATTTTTATAGCTAGTAATTATAATGAGATGCTATTATTGCGATGATCATTACCATGATGCTTCTTTTGAAGTCACTGAGCAACCTATTAGGATTTGTGTTATAAACTCCTTTTATCAAGGTTAGAGATGGAGAATTAAGGTAGTTCTTTTGCAAGAGTGAAACTACTTATTTTTATTATTACAAAGTAGTTGTTTTTTGATCCATGTTTCGTGCCCACTTACCCAATGTCTTTGCAAGTTATAACAATGTTTTAGAAATGCTAAGTGAGTTCTGCTCTTTTAAATCCTGAAGGGAATTTCCCACATAAATGTACCAAAAGCACCAAACCTTTTAAGTAACTGAGCAAATTTCTTACCCAGAGTGATCTTCAATCAAGCTTTTGATAAGAAGATTCACTTTTCTTAATCTTTTAAAACTAAACAGAAACTGTAGATACCATTTCTGTGTTACATTTTTGCTGCTGAGTGTACATATTAACATATGCATGTATATGCATACCATGCACACACACGTTCATGAAACCAACTGTATCTTCAATTTCTAGGGGTTGTTTTTGCTTTTTTTGGACACATGCTTTTTCATTCTTGGAATCCCAAAAAACAAAGTGTTTTATTATTGTTTGTTAATGTTGTTGATTGTAAGGAAGTCTTAGTTTAAAACTGAAATATTTATTATTGACAGTTTCTTTACACTTATATCACCTCCCAATTTCTCTGAGACTATAAGAGATTTTTACTATGACTTGCGAATTACTTTTACTGCTACTAGTTTTGCTATGATTTGAAAAGCAAGAAGCAATATGTACATATCAGATGAAAGTCGAATGGTGCTTGAGCCAGGCTGTTATCTCTTCCTGTCCGGAAGCCGAAGAGGTCGGTGTCTCTGTGTCTCTGAAGAGCCAGGGATTTGGGGGAAGCTCTGGCAGATCCTGAGACCAGGCCTCCTTCCTAGCTTCCTGGCAGCTGCTGGCTCTCAGATTGGAGAGCTCGTGGAATGGCCAAAAGTGGTCCTTATATTCAAGTACACCTTCATGTCTGTAATCCAAAGAAAGGAGTGTTTTGATCTGTTCTGGGGAGAATCGACTCACTCGTGTCAGTGAGAAGGGCAGGGATACATCTGGCTTTGGGTAAAGGGAGACAGGATTCAATTTGGTCAGCACTTCCTCTTTCCTTCCTAGGCCCTGCCTTTGTGGGGGCGCTTCCTCCCCACAGGAGAGGCTGCCTCCACCTCAAAGCCTCCACTCCCTCCCTTTTGCAGAGGAGAGCTAGGCCTGTGCCATGGCCGGGTGAGGGTGGGGGCTACCTTTGTTCTCTTTGTGTGGCTGAGTGTCAGTCCCGACAACAGTGTGTAGAATATGGCACTTCTGGTTTTACTTTTCTTTATGGTGCTGTGAATTGAAACCAGGGCCTTGTACACATGTTAGACAGTTTACCTCAGAACTACATATCCAACTCTTCAGAGCGTTTTTAACATGCTTTTAGGATCATAAGTTCAAAGTCAGCTGGGGTACCTCAGTGGCTCAGGGAGATTCTGTCTGAGAAATCAAAAGGGCAGGAGATGCAGCCCTGTGGAAAGGCCCAGGGTTCAGTCTCCAGGACTGTTAAAAAAAAAAAGTGCCATCTAAAGGTTCCCAGGCTCAGACTTGATTGAATAGGTGGTCTCAGTCTGTAGGCTCCAAACACTAATCACCTACTATAATGTTTTGTAGTTAAAATATATACAAGTATCAACTATGTACTTTTGTGGCATAAAATTAATGGGGAAATTAAATGATAATTTATATAATCTTTTTTAGGCTGTGAAACAGACTATACAAAATATGAATTTAAGAGTATTCTGGTTATAAATCCATAGGCCACATGTCTATCCTATTCTAATTTTTTAAAAAATGTATCTTAAAGAGGGTAAAATTAAACGGAACAAAAAGGTCATAAGAAAACAATGTAAGAGACACAGATTTCAAAGCACGAAAACTGGAGATCTTCACTGTCTATCATATTGTCTCTTGTTTTTTTCCAAATAGTTGTCCATATCTTCCCATACAATGAATTCATACAAAGCAACATAGTATAAAGCTGATTCAAATAGGATGATGAAGACATTTTAGGTCTTCCAGACCAGACAATAAGGAAGTCAACAATGGCTGTCAGAGTGTCTCTCGTTCTCTTTAAAATAACTGTCCATATCTTCACGTATGTTGAAATTAAACAAAACACTAAAATCACTCTGAACAAAGAATAATAGTATGGCTGGTTTTCACATCATGATGCTACAGAATCAGCACTGGGTACCTTAGTGTCTCTTTTTCTTCAAAGTAGCTGTTCATTTCATCATGCATTATATAATCGACTCTCATAAATTGTTTAGAAGTTCTACGCATGCATGAGTCTCTACATGTATACCTATTCATTCTGTATTAGAGGAAAAAACAAAACAAGACAATCAAAACAAATTCCTAGAAAAACATGAAACAAAAAAGACATATAAACCACAATAGCAAAGAGCCCAGAACACTGACAATATAGACCTTCAAAACAAGGTGCTATGAGTGTAACTAGGGTTGTTATTTTACATAATCTTCAAGAGTTCCTCAGATCACCATACAATAATATGCACAATTGTTCTAATCCTATGAATGTTAACTATTTTGTTCCAAGAACTTATAGAATTTGTAGAACAATCATCTTAGCTATCCTAAGTGTGCTTATATAAATGTAGGTATTTTTCTTTTCCTTTCCTTTTTCTTTTTCCTCATTTTCCCTGAGATATTATTTTTTACCCTTTAAGCAGATTCTTGTCTTTTCACTGTGCTTTTTGAGTTTTCTGTATCTTATATACTCTTACCATTTCTTATACTATATGGGAGACTATATGGTATTTACACATGTGAGTTTTTATTTCACTTATGAGTATGGTCTCAAGTTGCATCCATTTACTTATAAATATCTCAATGTGATCATTCTTTGCAGAAGACCTACTCTGATTTTTTAAAAATATGAGACAAGTTAAGTAAAACCTAAAAGAATAGAGGACTCACGTTTATTAAAATAGTGATGCCATTGAAGAACATCAAAATTCTCTCACGAAGATGATATTAAGTTCTTATGTTGTATAAGAATATGTTTGTACATATGAAAGCTAAAGATATGGAAAACTTTAACCTTTGAGCTCTGCACTGAGAAACTGAGAAGAATAAATTAATGCATTCTTATGCAATTTTTAAAGAAATGGAGTATACATATTGTTTCTGTCCCTTAGTTTCTTCAAAATCAACTTTCCTTCTAAGAAAACATGGCCATTATTTCTCTATAAAAAAACTAAACTTCTTCTGAAAGATGAGTTGTTATAAAATGGGGTTTCACCTTTAAGACTCAGAGGAGACAGCATTCAATACATGTCCAGGTTTTTCAGTCAGAGACATTCTGAAAGGGGCTGATGAACTGAAAGGGAGTAGGTTTTAGGAACTCTAAAGGCCATTTACAGTTGATCCCAATTTTTCCTCCAATCAAGGATCACCAGCCAAATGAGAGAAATTAAACAATGACTAATTAACCTGTATGTGCAATCATTTTTTTTTTGAGATTCCTTGAATCGAAGTGGCCAGTATCCTGCGGTGGGGAACCAAGTCATCTTACATCTGATACCATTTTAAGATTTTCCACTGCCTTTGCAAATATGAAACATGGGAGCTTCTGGATCAGGTAAGTCTGGGAAGGGGGGCAGAGGGGGTGGGGGTGGGGGGAGAGGGCAGAGCAGCGACTCCAAGGGCTCGAAGCCAAACAGTTGTGTGGGAGGACACAGGCCTGACACAGATGCAGGTCCTTACCACCTTCAGACACAGCAGTCCTGCCCACTTAGGAAAGGAAATCAGATTAATACTAGACAGTAACCTATCAGCCACTGTTCCTCTTCCTTTGGAAAGAGCAAGAAAGGGAGAAAGGCACGATGTGAGAAGAAATGGTAAACATCAGGGGACAGTGTGTTCTTACATGTATGCTATTAGGGAATTATTGATATTATTCAGTTACTTTATGGGGTTAAATGGAGTTTAACACAACATTATAATATTTTTTCTATGGGGGAGGTGCTCTGAGCTTTAATAGATGACTCATAAGTGGAGTCTTGGACTGTAACTTATCAGACAGATTTAGCTGCTTTTTCAAATTAACTGTGCGTGCATCAGTACAAGGGATGGGACACATATATGGGACTGTGATGTGTCGGCAGTGACCAGATGGCCCTTCCAGAGTTCTTCAGAGTAAGAGAGTAGATACACTGTCCTCTTAGGCTATGCTAGGAAGTACAGACATTTCTGCAAACATAACAAATTGAGGTTCAGCTAGGAAATGATTCTAGAAATAGTCACCTTTTTCCTGGTTTAATTCTAACACAATTATTCACTGTACTGGAGAAACAATTGTACAGTTAGCTTTTAGTGTATTATACACCCCTTCCCCAAATTCAGTTGTTGAAAGCAAAAATTACTTAAGTGGCTGTAATGTAGGTTGGTGAAGCTGGGCTCTTCCTGGAAGCTCTGTTTCAAGTTATGTGTGACCACACAATCTGGGCTTAAATCAGCCTCCCACAGGTCCCTTCCAGGGCGGCAGTGCAGCAGAGAGCTCTTTTCATAGTGACAGCAGATGTGCAAGAGGACAAAGCAAATTCAAGGGATCTTAAGGCCTAGACTCATCGTGGTGCATTGTGACTGTCACTTCATTTTGTTGTCCACAGCAAGTCAGATGGCTGAACCCAAAGTCAAGGTGTGAGTAAACATATTCTGCTCAGTTAGTGGGGATGGGGGGAGAACTTCAAGGTCCAGGACAAATGGTATATATATGGGAAGGTACTGACTTGATGGAAAAAATCCCAGAATGCTCTGGAAATGGAGCTAATAATGCATCTAGCACAATAATCACTGACCTGGTGAGTTTAAGTTAGATCTACCCCTTGTGAGTAAGCAGGGGTTAGGATTACATGCCCTGCAAGGGCACAGTGCCTAACCCTGCCATTTGAAGATGAAAGATCTACCTTCTCTCTGAGAAGACCTAAAAAGTTGATCCACTGAAGTTGCTGAGGCCCGTAATGTCCGTCTCAGAGTTGTGACAAGTGCAATCCATGAGGAACTTTTCCATCAATCACATTGACAGGAAGTAGTTGCCCAGCAAAGCCTAGCAAAGTAACTATGGGAGACAGCAGTGTCTTCTGACCAGCTGTGGGGAGTCCCAGTGAGCTGAGAGTCTTAAGAAGGCCCATAAGCATTGGTGATAAGAAGGCCCCTGGCTCACTACCTTATTAGAGTTACGGAGAAGGGAGCATCAGATAGTAGCTGGTTTAGGAACTGAGCTCAACTCTGTTGAGGGGGAGATGAATATAAACATTTAATACTTTTTGGGGGGTAACATTTCTGACAATTGTATTAAATCAGCCCACCAATCTTCTTCAATATTGCCTTTCTTAGCAATGCCTTGATGGCTTTTTTTTTTCTTTTATCTTTTTACAAAGATTCGGCCTATCCGAATTATTAGAAGAGTCAAATTCTGGCATTTCAGATTCGGTTCCATTCTCAAAATCGCTTCCAAGTTTGTTTCTTCCTCCTTTGGAGGCAGGAGCTTTCTGAAAGGATGATGGTTTCTCTGACTCCTCTTCTGCTCGTTTCAGGAGACTTGCGACTTCTTGGTTGACCATGACTTCCACCAGCATCTACCCAGGCTGCTGAGAAGGTGCCAACAGCCTTTGCCAGTGAAAGGCTTTTGCAGGTGCAGCTGTCTTAGGCACCGACCATCCGTCCTTTGCCAGGTTTGGCCATCTGTGCTGGGTGACCTCTAGCCCGTGGCCTGTAGCCTGTGCTGCCAGTGCCTCTTCATCAGCATCCTCTTCCCCAACACACGCATTCACATACCCTGCAGCCAGTGCTCAAGATCACAGTCTCAATTCTCTTCCTCCCCCAGATTGCTGAGGGCTCAGGGATCCATGGGCCCCTGTATACTCTCTCTGTCCCTATTTATGTCTGATGGGGCCTAAGAAATATGTACAGTATTTTTTAGGACCTCCTCAGTTGCCCTGTTGGACTTGAACTTGCACTTTTCTTACCCCAGGCTCCCTCAGTGCTAGGATTACAGGCCTGCACCACCTCACCCAGCTACGCCTCCACTCTTGAAGCAAATCCCTATCACAGGAATAAAAAATTTTGGTTTCTTCTAGGCATCTGATCTTTATAAGATACTCTAATCATTTTCTTTATTTCCATTAGCTGTGGGGAGGGAAAAGTTATTCCTCCATCCCTCTTCATCTTTTCAGTGGCAGAAGGAGGTAGGATAAAGGTTAATGATAACAGATATCTGAGACTTTAAACTCTGATGGAATGTTGACGGTAAGTCCTGGAAGATCTCTTATTTGAAAATGTGGATATAATTACTGCTTTAGTTTTAGTTTGATCTACTAACCTCCTTCAAGGACAACATGACAAGTCTTATGATCTGTTGTCTTACAGCTCAGGCTTAATTTGGTTCAAAACTGGGCTCTGCTGCTTAATAATCAAGTCCCATTAAAAAAAAAATCTGTAAAATGGTGTTATTTTTTCACAGTTATTTCCAGTGTAAGATGAATAGATAAATGTCATTTGGTTTCTTTATTAGAGGTGTTAAACACTGCTAGTTATCTTCCCTCACTAATCCATCTCTTGAACCTTATGTGTTTCCATGTCTGTGCATATGTATATCTGTGTCTAGATACAAATGTGTATATGTGCATGTATAAAATCTAGGCCTTTGGTATTTCCTCCCCTGAATCCATCAGCTATGTTATTGGTACGAGGAACATATATTTGGGACACAGTTTTCAACATTCAGTAACAACAGCCCTAAATTCTTATATGACTCATCAAGTCATAAGTTACCGAGGGCACCAGGTATGGACTCTCTATTTCCTGCAGCACGTTGTGTAGGTGTATTGTTACCAGAAATTCTCCAAAATGCTACCCAGTCATTTCAGTCTTTGTTTCTATAGAAATGACTAGGATGAAAGAAAAGAAAGATTAAAACAAAGAAATGTGATTGTTTTTATATTCTACCATCAAGAATAACTTGGTACTTAAAATGAAGTGATTCAAATGAGAATAAACAAATTTAAATAAAAAAGTTTTGATGCTGATTTCTAAACTGAACTGGGTTTTAGCTGATAAAATCTACAAAGCAGAATATTTACCCTCAAAAATTATCAGTCATACATTACCATTACTCACGCTTTCATATCTTCATATATGGTAGATTTTCTAAAACCTTAAGAGACTAGGAGCTTTTTAGATTAAGCTACGTTGATTAAGTTAAGTTAAGATTAAGTTAAGATTGAGCTCTACGTTTAGAGCAAAAAAGGAGTTCGATATTTAATAAACTTGTATTAAGTTTAATTCATAGCTAAAGAGCTTTTGACCTTCTTTTGCATTGTTTGAAAGTTAGAGGTTCAAATCTACTAGAGGAAAAAGGAACAGAAGTTCTTCCTCTTCTCTTCCACATAACCCTGGACCCACAAGGACCAACACCCATTTTTGACACCCTCACTGTGAAGCAGGTTCGGTGTGCACTGGTCACTAACTTATTGGAGCCCAGTGAACAGCTTCCTGCCTCTACCATCATAAGCTGTGTAGGTTTTTATTTACACACAGGAAGCAAGGGACAGAAACGTAGATTCACTGTGAGCTTAATCCCCAAAGTCCTGCAGGCTGCCTGGGTGGAGAGTCTTGGTTGCACGTATGCCACTTGCACTGCAGCATGGAAGTGCAAAAGCAGCCTGCCCCAGATTATATACCTCAGGCACCGTGATTCACCGGGATGCGGTGTGGAGGATGTCCTATCCTGGACAGGACTGGAATTGAGCTTGTGTCCTTATCTCAAGATGTTGCATTCCCAGGATATTCCACAGTCATTCTTGAGAACAACAAGCAAAAAAAGTGGGTAAGTCTGGGTCAGTCCAAGATCATCCAAAGACTATCCTGCACCAACATGACTCTAACCTCCTCCATTATCACAAAACAACCTTAGAAAAATATGCTGTTAATTGACTTCCAGGGAAAAGTCCGTAAGAACAAGAAAAATCTTGATAGATTGCTCCATCTGTTTCATGATCTGCAAAATCCACACAACGTTTTTCTGGCCTATTATATTAACTAAGTAATCAGTGTCTTCTGTAGGTAACATTTGATAAACAAATAAGCATAGAATATTCCTCAAGGTTCTGCTTCCATTTGTACATGCATGCCTACAATACACACATGCACACACTCACCTTAACCCTAACAACTACTATTGGGAAGGTTAAACTTTTATTTTTAGATTAAGAGAACATGAGAGTGTACTCAGGTCTATGGCTTGTTTAAATTAATACAAATGAGTACAACAGTTCTGTATACCAGCCCAAAATTCCACAGTTTCATGCACACGTGTAGACAATGGCCATGAAATTTGAATAATAGAATGTTGAAATAAAAGGAATCTCAGAAATTACTAGTTCAAAGCTCTCCTTTTACTAATAAGGAAGTTTAGTTCTTCTATAAGGAAAAATTGTGAAGGACATATAAATGGGGAGATAAGCATCACTAAGTGTCCTATCTAGCACATCCTCTCAGGTTTTCTGATTTTATTAGGGTCCAACATTTCAGTCTTTTAGTTATTTTATGATTAATAAGTTGCATTAAATGATAATAGTACAAAGAATTCTCCATAGCAAAGTGAGTGTTTTCATGTGAAATAGACTGGTTATGGCCCTTTGAATACTCACCAGTTTGCAAATTTAGCCTATGCATGTGTATGTGTATGCTTTTGTGAATGTTACATCATTTTACTGGTTCCTTCATTAATTAACACATTAAATAAAGCCTTTGATGCATGCTCATTTTACATTTATATGAGTCATGATTTTATCTTTCAAAAATGTCCTTTAAGCAACTACCTGAAGCATCTGACTGATACTAAATGAAGGATATTGATTATAGTTAGCAATGGAGTACAACCAGCTATGGAGCATTTATTATTATAAATACTTTACATATTTATTTGATATTCAGTTTACCAAAACTGTATTCCTCCAGAGTCTGATGTCGGGGGCCCGGAGGAAGGGTGAGAGGAGAGAAAGTAAGAGAGGGTCAAAGGGAGAGTGGCCATGATTGATGTGTGATACATGCTTTTATAGAAATGTCACAGTGAAAACACTAATTTGTATAAATACTATGTTAATAAAGTCTGTTGTATTTTTAGCAAAACATATATAAGATGGTGTTGTGGTTTATGCCTAGATGTCACCCCAATGCCTCATGTGCTCATAGGTGAGGCTTTTGAGATTGGATTGGATCATGGGGCCATGATATTCACCAGTGGATTTCTACACTAATGAGTTTGTAGTTAAATATGATGTTGTGAGATGAAACATGGTCAGAGGAGGTGGGTAACTGGGGGCGTGGCTGGGAGGCTCTATCTCTTCCTTCCTCCTCCCTATTTTTTCTCTCTGTCTTCTCTGCTATGCTTCCCTCCTTTGGAACTAGCAGACTATGGGATGAAGCTTCTACAAATTGTGAACCAAAACAAACCTTTCCTTCTTTAAATTGTGGGTATTAGGTATCACATCCCAGCAGTGAGAACCTAAGACAGGCATTAAGGCAAAGTAGAATAAGTCACCCAAAAACATACTTGTTTGACATAAAAGAGGCAATTTTGGGTTAATAGCACCTAAGAGGCAGCAAGTAGAAAAAATATTCTGTATATTCTTTTTTACTGGAAACAGTTCTTAGCCAGAGACAGCACCACAGAAACATGCAAAAACAAAAACAAAAACAAAAACAAAAACAAAAACAAAACAAAACAAAAAACCCTTACTGGCATTTTCTTCTCACCTATTTACCTTCCCACAGTTTCCTGCCTTTGGATGGCGAGAGCCACCTTACTTGGTCCTGGAGCTTCTCTCCAGATTTGTTGTTCTTAGTTGAACCACAGAATAATTAGTCGCCACCTTGTGCTACCTTTCATGGAAGTTCCTCCCACATGATGCATCAATAAACCTGCTTGCTTTTCTCTTATTAATCTGCCTTTTGTTACAAGGGTCTTTTTCAACTATGTATTTGTAAAGGTTGAGAAGAAATTCTACTTCCTCCCTAGCAACACTGACTTCTTAGTAGTGTTAATAAAACAAACAAATGAACAAAAAACAGTGGAGGAATAGAGGTTTAGATAAAATCAAACAAATTATTTGCTTTAAGAATTTTAAGAGTCTATATATCAATATTTCCTAATTGTACAGAAGGGGAGATACACGGAATTTCTTAATTATACTTGATTATCTAATCGGTAACATTATGTTTGACTATAAGGACAGAAAAAAATGTAAGATGTCTGTCTTAATGTCTTAAACTAGGTACTTTCTTTCTTAATAAAAAATTCCAAGATAGATGGTCCTGAACTATTTCGGCTCTTAGGGATGATGGACCCAGGCTTCCATTGTTAAGCACTCTCCTGATCGCAGGGTCCCAGCCTGAACATCCACATTCTAATCCGGATGAAAGGAGGGAAATGGAAAGAGAATCCTGTCTCTCTTCAGGGATACTTCCAAAAAGTTCAAAATGCCTGTTGCTGACCTCTTAATGACTAGAGCTTAGTGACCACACTTAAGTGAAAAGGGGACTAAAACCACATCCATTCTTGCTTAAGAATTCTATTTCTGTGGAGGAAGAGGACAGGACCATGAATGATCTCTGCCACAGCCATAAAACTCTAATTTTGTGGACTTTTTTATAAAGGAGGTGGGGAAATGTCGATGTCATTTAATTCGTTTCCATTTCCTGAGCTACTAAGAATCCATATGGAAAGCAAACCTATAGGAAAGACCTGAGAATGAGGACTAGTAAACCGACTCATCAAGGCATTCTTAGAGGAATCAGAAGCATGAGAGGGAGAATTAACGTTTGAATTCAACCATTGCATTAATTCACATGAAAACTTACAATTCCAGAATGTGAACCTAAAATTAAACATAGTGTTTGTCATAAGGGTAATATGAATAAAAAATAAGAATTTTTCCTGTTGTAAGAAAGGGAAAGAGACTGCCCTTAATCATCATTTTTCCTAAAGCATTTATTTAAAAAAAACCCTGCTAATTGTGAATTCTTCCTCTGCCCCTTTTGAGATATATGGAGATCTTTTAAAAATATGAATAAACGGAACTTCTGGGAGAACATGGTGGATAGATAGCAGCAGCTGCAGAGGCTCTCTGAGATACCCCACTTAGAGTCCAGGAGTGGTGCGGTGTAAGGAGTCCTAAGCGGGGGAGATGTACCCTGCTGACCCAGGAACAAACTAAGCTGAGAGAAACCAACTGGAAATGCAGTCCCAGTGCTATAACAGGAACAGATAAAATCTCAGTGCGGAAGCTGGAACCCGTGCCTCTGGAAGCTGCAATTTGAATTTCCTGCTGCCAATGCTGTGTCCAAATCGACACAGCAGGGAGAGAGATGCGTGAAAGCTCTGAGAGTGGAAATCGGCAAACGGAGTTGAGAGCGGGACTGGCAGGAGCCCTGCATCGACCTGCGATGAGTGAGCAGAATGGGGACCCTTCCATAGAGTAGGAGGTTCCAGCAAAGGACATTCTGGGATTGGGCAGACTAGCCGGAACAGGACTCTGCAGTGACTTTCATCACATAGTCCCCTCTCAAGTGGGACTGGTGCGGAGTGCTTGGCCTGGGTGACGCACTAAGACCCAGTAGGCTAGCCCAAGCTGGGACCAGGTCCCAGCACCTGCCCAAGACCCTAGCAGTGAAGCCTTTGGTGGGTTGACCTGGAGGGGCGGGCCCAGCAGAGGCTGCCCAGGTCTGTGTCTCCTTAGTGCACTGCACTGGGTGGGAACAGCTAACCGGTGGATTCAAACAAACTGTGGCTGACAAAGAGAAAAACTGGGCCTCCTATGTGCACTTGTGTGGAAGGAGCAAAAAGTATGGGAAGAGGGAGCAACAAGAAAGGCTCCTCAGTCCCCAATCTTGAGAACACTGATCCAGGAAAGGTAAATGCAAAGGAGGACAGAAAACATGCAATATCAGACACG